CCTCCTATAGATGAGGTTTCTGTTCCTTTCCGCACACGTTGTACCATCTGGGTCCCTGCGATTGTCACTTTGTGTCGGTGGGATGCTGGTGGCGGCGGCACACAATGGCGATCTGTGTGCTCTCAGTCTTTGTGTCTCTGTCAGAAGATGGCTTTATGTATGTCAGTAAGTGGCGCCTCTTCTCCGTTTCCTGCGTTTCCTGCGTTCCATGCGCACACAGAAGGCTCTTTGTATCTGTCGGCGCTTTGTGTGCCTCGTGAAGAGTGGCGGGTCGGTTGAAGGGGCGATTCTCAGGCGTACAATGGCAGCACTCTGCCACAACAGCCAGCGAGTGCGTATCGGTAGCGTGCCGGGTCTCAGGCAGATGGAGCGGGGAGTCTGTGAATGAGCTCACATCTTGTGTGCAGAACAATGCGCGCTCTGCTCTCCTGGGCTCTGCTGTCGGCCCGCTGATAGGACTCGGCGTCAATACAGATGAGATGATGAAGATACGGCGGAGGCCGGGAACGCCATCCTAGACGCTCTCGCTGTGCCGTTCTGCTGGATGACCTGCGGCTCCTCGTGCTCGTGGCTTTACTTTCTGAATTCCTGATGTGTCTGAGCTCACCATCTAAACCCAAGAACAAAAATGTCATCTATTGAGGCTTACCAGTCCTTAGGTGTGGTGGCTGCATTTGTTTTCAGGTTTTCCTCTTTATTTTCACCTGGTGATTGTGTCAGGATCACACTTCCTGTCCTAAGGTGACAACACTCACTGCACTGTATCTGTGGAGGAGCAGCATTGTCACCCTAGGATAGGAATACAGAACAACCCCCCCCCCCCACACACACACACACACACACACACCACCAGCTCTCCTCCATAACATAGAGGTTCTGTAGTCCCCAGGGATAGAAGGGAACAATGTAACTGATAAGTGTGCAGCACAGGCAGCTCTCTATACTGCACAGGAATACAGAATGCCTCCCCCCTCTCCTCATCTCCTTACATTGAGGGAGGGGTGTTCTGTAGTTCACTGTGGTGAGCTGATAATACTGCCTGAGATAGTATTGCAGAGTGCACAGGACAGCTCTGGATTTCTGGCAGGATCAACATTTGTTTTTTTTATAACAGATATAACAAAATGCTTTCAATGGTAAATATAACAAACCTAAAAGGAAAAGCAAATAAGAGAAAGTAATTTTATGGGTGTAAGATGATCTGTTCTCTGTCTTTTTTTTTTTTACTTAAATACTTGTTTGCAACTTTTTTCATCCTTTGCTGCACCTCAATGCTGCTGGTCCCCCGCAGGCTCATTGCAAGCACTTCCTGTCTACATACACTCCGGCGATGGCTGCATGGCATTTCTCAGGGTGGGTTTGCTAACTGTGACAACATTGGACAGTGACTGTGTAATATGTGCTACAACAGCCGCATGTAGTCTCCTTCAGAAGCTCATGTGACATGGTGACAACACATGAGCACAATCGGGAGCCAGGGACAGAACGGTGTCACCCCACAACAGGAAGTGGCAGGACCAGAAAGGCAGGATCACCATTTCTTATAGTAATGAAAGTATTATGTTTACTAAGATTATATGAGGTTTGCTGTACATGGCGGACAGTCCCAGGAGGCTTCAGCAGGGGAAATCAATACTGCTGGGGACCTGCCATGTGTCCTTTTCTCTCCAAATGCTTGAAATATTTCCTTCTCATCTCTTCTCCTTTCTCTTCTCTTCTCTCTCTCCTCGTCATTTTTATTGTTCTCTTCTCTCTTTCTCTTCTCTCCTCTCTTTCTCTTCTCTCCTCTCTTTCTCTTTTTCTCTTCTTCTCTTTTCTTTTTCTCTTCTCTTCCTCTTTTTCTCTTCTCTCTTTCTCTTCTCTTCTCCCTTTCTCTTCTCTTCTCCCTTTCTCTTCTCCTTTTCTCTTTTCTTCTCCCTTTCTCTTTTCTTCTCCCTTTCTCTTCTCTTTTCACTTTCTCTTCTCTTTTCCTTTCTCTTCTCTTTCTCTTCTTCCTTTCCCTTTCCCTTTCCCTTTCTTTTCCTTTCTCTTTTCCCTTTCTCTTCTCTTTTCTCTTTTCCCTTTCTCTTCTCTTTTCTCTTTTCCCTTTCTCTTCTCTTTTCCCTTTCTCTCTCTCTTCTCTTTTCCCTTTCTCTTCTCTTTTCTCTTTTTCCTCTTCTCTTTCTCTTTTCTCTTTTCCCTTTCTCTTTTCTCTTTTCTCTTTTCCCTTTCTCTTCTCTTTTCTCTTCTCTTTTCTTTTCTTTTCTCTTCTCTTCCCCCTTTCTCTTCTCTTCCTCTTCTCTTCTCCCTTTCTCTTCCTTTCTCTTTTCTCTTCTCTTCTCCCTTTTTCTTTTCTCTTCTCTTCTCCCTTTTTCTTTTCTCTTCTCTTCTCTCTTTCTCTTTCTCTTCTCCCTTTTTTCTTTTCTCTTCTCTTTTCCCTTTTTCTTTTCTCTTCTCTTCTCTTCTCTTCTCCCTTTCTCTTTTCTCTTCTCTTCTCTTTTTCTCTTTTCTCTTCTCTTCTCCCTTTCTCTTTTCTCTTCTCTTCTCCCTTTCTCTTTTCTCTTCTCTTCTCCCTTTCTCTTTTCTCTTCTCTTCTCCCTTTTTCTTTTCTCTTCTTTTCTCCCTTTTTTCTTTTCTCTTCTCTTCTCTTCTCTTCTCCCTTTTTCTTTTCTCTTCTCTTCTCCCTTTCTATTTTCTCTTCTCTTCTCCCTTTCTCTTTTTCGCTCTTGTCTTAAAAGCCTTGCACCTCTCGATCTGCAGCAGTCGGAGGAGGTACAGTAGCCATAGCTAATGGAAAAGGTTATGGACTCTATCATCAACTTGTTCAGAGAAATCCTGTTACTTTGAAGTGGGTTGTCAGCTCTTTTTTTTTTAATGTTTTATTAAATGTGTACAAAGTTTGGGGAAAGGTCAGTCTGTGTCCCCACTGCAGGAAATTCCCCTCATTTCCTCTTTTAGGGCTTATTTAGATGCATGGCAAGAACCGCCACTCATTAGAAAACTGATCCTTGCCTGGATTCCGCACCACCGGATTTTAGCCATTTAAATGCCTCATTACTGCACCACAATCCTGTGCTTTGTTTGCAGTGCGGTGCGGTGCCATAGACCCACATTAGATGCGTTCAACAGCAGCAGCACGCCAAAATTCTGCCATTTAATGTCTGTCAAGGAGCACGGCATTCTAGCTTTTGGTGTGTTTGTAGCCATGAGCGGCTGCATCACTGTTCAGGTGGGGCATGGGGGGCAGTAAAACTGCCTGGCTCTACTGCCCCACCCCACCCTGATGTGCGAATGGGCCCTAAGATGAGAGATTGTTACGGGGGGGGGGGGGTGTATCATTGGCATTCATCATTTTTATCCCTGTCCTGGTGGAATGACCCTATTGAGCGCTCACATCCCGGTGATGGTGGAAGCATCCGTCCGGTGAATTGTCTCATCTTCTCTCCATAATACATCGACAGGAATTCCTCGTTCATTGAACAGATTGGCGCAGATCTTCATTCGTCTCGTTCATTCCGGTTTCCATGAAATTCATTGGATTAATAGTCACAGCAGGCAGGCTCTGCTCTCCATCACCCCACTTTACTCTTCTGTCTGCGAACTAAAAACAGATGTGCAGAATAGCGGGAGGGTGACATCGAGGAAACGCACACATCGCACACTTACTGGGCGGCTTCCAGGAGCGATTGTGTCTTCATAGTCACGGGCGTGCTTTAGAATGGAAGAACCGGGCTCCAGAGTGACAGGGTCCCTTTAAATCTCACCCACCTGCACCCACCTGTACCCATTCACAGCGCTCCCCAGCCACCCCTTCCTCCGCCATTGCTGCCACAAATATATTTCCTGTACAGCCCCCGGACATAGAATGAGGGGCAGCAAAGACTGGAATTGGCTGCTTGGTTGGTGCAGCGCTTTAAGATGAAGAAAGGATTTGAATGCAGGTTCTGCAGGTTCTTACCTGCTTATGTTCTGCAGATATTAGGCCCTTTGCTTAGGAGCTCCTGAATGTTATTAAAGTTGAATTTTTAAACTGTTACTGAACCCACAACAGTACAATCAGTCTGTAGATGCAGGAAAGCATGCTTGTTATACTCACTGTGGGACCTAAGGGGTTAATCCTCTGCATTGTATAAAAGGGCTGTTTTCCTGTCTTCTCTGATCCTCCCCTTCTTCCACTGTCCCCAATCCATATGCTGATAGTACAGAGCTCTATAAGTCAGTATACTTCAGTGTATAAGGCAGGGGTGGACTGACCATTTGGGTCAGTAGGGGGCCCCATGGGATGCCCCTGGTACCTTTCATAGGCTTTTTTGGGTGTGGTTTGAGTGTAGGTGAGGACACAGGGGCCCCATGATCTCCTATTGCCCGGGGGCCCCATGAGTTGTCTGTCCGCCCCTGGTATAAGGCTAAAGCTTTTTTTTTTTCCTTTAGTAGGATGCATGTGATCAGCACAGGCCAATCAGAACTGTCCAGACAGATATAGTGAATGCAGGGTCCTGGGAGAGTGGATATAGTGAATGCGGGGTCCGGGGAGAGCGGATATAGTGAATGCGGGGTCCGGGGAGAGCGGATATAGTGAATGCGGGGTCCGGGGAGACCGGATATAGTGAATGCGGGGTCCGGGGAGAGCGGATATAGTGAATGCGGGGTCCGGGGAGAGCGGATATAGTGAATGCGGGGTCCGGGGAGAGCGGATATAGTGAATGCGGGGTCCGGGGAGAGCGGATATAGTGAATGCGGGGTCCGGGGGAGAGCGGATATAGTGAATGCGGGGTCCGGGGAGAGCGGATATAGTGAATGCGGGGACCGGGGAGAGCGGATATAGTGAATGCGGGGTCCGGGGAGAGCGGATATAGTGAATGCGGGGTCCGGGGAGAGCTGATATAGTGAATGCGGGGTCCGGGGAGAGCGGTTATAGTGAATGCGGGGTCCGGGGAGAGCGGATATAGTGAATGCGGGGTCCGGGGAGAGCGGTTATAGTGAATGCGGGGTCCGGGGAGAGCGGATATAGTGAATGCGGGGTCCGGGGAGAGCGGATATAGTGAGTGCGGGGTCCGGGGAGAGCGGATATAGTGAGTGCGGGGTCCGGGGAGAGCGGATATAGTGAGTGCGGGGTCCGGGGAGAGCGGATATAGTGAGTGCGGGGTCCGGGGAGAGAGGATATAGTGAGTGCGGGGTCCGGGGAGAGCGGATATAGCGAGTGCGGGGTCCGGGGAGAGCGGATATAGTGAATGCGGGGTCCGGGGAGAGCGGATATAGTGAATGCGGGGTCCGGGGGGAGAGGATATAGTGAGTGCGGGGTCCGGGGAGAGCGGATATAGTGAGTGCTGGTCCGGGGAGAGAGCGGATATAGTGAATGCAGGGTCCAGGGAGACGGTACACCTGTGCTAGACTGAAGGGGAGGAGCCGGTACACCTGTGCAGGACTGAAGGGGAGGAGCTGGTACACCTGTGCTAGACTGAAAGGGAGGAGCCGGTACACCTGTGCTAGGCTGAAAGGGAGGAGCCGGTACACCTGTGCTAGACTGAAGGGGAGGAGCCGGTACACCTGTGCAGGACTGAAGGGGAGGAGCCGGTACACCTGTGCAGGACTGAAGGGGAGGAGCCGGTACACCTGTGCAGGACTGAAGGGGAGGTGGGATGAATTATTTACAGGGAATTATACTTTCATTTCTTCGTCTTGCTTTGCTGTTTGTTGAGTTGTTCGGTTTCCATGAGGACTGTTCCTGTCTGATTGTGGGACTCCCTGGAGGGTGTAATAGAACGCTCAGTGTGAACTTTGCTGGCTGTATATAAATCATGACTTGTCTGTCCCCCGGGAGGAAGTACTTGTCTCTTCATTTTCCCTCCACCTTCCTCTATTAGGTTGTTGCAATGAAGAATGTTTCCATTACAGGAACCCAGGCAGGACATGTTTGTATTTTTAGGAGCCCCGCCCCTTTCCTTCGCTGAAGTTCAGATCGCTCATGGAGTCTCCCTTTAAATGGTTTTTCTTTTCTCCCTCCATCTTTGGGATTTCACATTTCTGTGAGTCCTGCAGGCGGAGTGACAATCTCTTGTCTCATCTTCAGCATTTACAAGACGAGAAATGTGAATTATGACAAGGCCGACTTGTGTGAACTCGCAGCGCCTGCCTGTCTGTGGCCGGCTCTGACACTCTCCTGCCTGACTCAGCACATTTACAGGGTGAAGTTGTCTGATTCTGCTGATATGTCATTAGTCACCTGCCCTGTGCTGCCTGACTCCTCCAAGGTGTGTTCATTGAGGGACGGCGGTCCTAGGTACATCGACTCCTATACTCGGGAGAGTGCAGGACGGGCTGACCGATCCACTCATAGCAACTCATCTGTATATCCGACGGCATGAACACAGCACAAAGAGCAGAGTCCTCCAGCAGTGCAGAGTATTTCAGGGGAGGAGTTATAGAGGAAGGGGCGGAGTCCTCCAGCAGTGCAGAGTATTTCAGGGAGAGGAGAGTTATAGAGGAAGGAGCGGAGTCCTCCGGCAGTGCAGAGTATTTCAGGAGAGGAGAGTTATAGAGGAAGGAGCGGAGTCCTCCAGCAGAGCAGAGTATTTCAGGAGAGGAGAGGTATAGAGGAAGGAGCGGAGTCCTCCAGCAGAGCAGAGTATTTCAGGAGAGGAGTTATAGAGGAAGGAGCGGAGTCCTCCAGCAGTGCAGAGTATTTCAGGAGAGGAGAGTTATAGAGGAAGGAGTGGAGTCCTCCAGCACAGCAGAGTATTTGAGGAGAGGAGAGTTATAGAGGAAGTAGCGGAGTCCTCCAGCAGTGCAGAGTATTTCAGGAGAGGAGAGTTATAGAGGAAGGAGCGGAGTCCTCCAGCAGAGCAGAGTATTTCAGGAGAGTTATAGAGGAAGGAGCAGAGTCCTCCAGCAGCGCAGAATATTTCAGGAGAGGAGAGGTATAGAGGAAGGAGCGGAGTCCTCCAGCAGAGCAGAGTATTTCAGGAGAGGAGTTATAGAGGAAGGAGCGGAGTCCTCCAGCAGAGCAGAGTATTTCAGGAGAGTAGTTATAGAGGAAGGGGCGGAGTCCTCCAGCAGTGCAGAGTATTTCAGGAGAGGAGTTATAGAGGAAGGAGCGGAGTCCTCCAGCAGCGCAGAGTATTTCAGGAGAGGAGAGTTATAGAGGAAGGAGCGGAGTCCTCCAGCAGTGCAGAGTATTTCAGGAGAGGAGAGTTATAGAGGAAGGAGCGGAGTCCTCCAGCAGTGCAGAGTATTTCAGGAGAGGAGAGGTATAGAGGAAGGAGCGGAGTCCTCCAGCAGTGCAGAGTATTTCAGGAGAAGAGAGTTATAGAGGAAGGAGCGGAGTCCTCCAGCAGTGCAGAGTATTTCAGGAGAGGAGTTATAGAGGAAGGAGCGGAGTCCTCCAGCAGTGCAGAGTATTTCAGGAGAGGAGTTATAGAGGAAGGAGCGGGGTCCTCCAGCAGTGCAGAGTATTTTAGAAGGAAGGATGTACACTGATATTTAGCTGTAATACACTCTCATGTCTCATTTTTTTCCTCCATAAGGAAATGACATTCTTGCCTCAAAGGGAAATAAAGAGCTTTCTTCTAGTTTAGATTTACCCCCCAATCTGCAGTTCAGAGATCGGTCTTCCTTTAGGATTGGTGGAGATGAATTGATCACCTGATAACACAGCAAAGCGCTGGGGTTCCCTGGCAGCCAATCAGCCGGCGTTGCTTGGGCACATTACATTTCAATCTGGGTGACTGCCAGGGTGCCCGCCTGCCTGACAAGAATCCGCATACACTAAAAAAGCTTTTTAATATTCAATATACAGAAGACGTCAGTAGCAGGAACCTGTCTAGCGAGAACAAAAATAATGCCTAATTATGGAAATCTAGAAGATTATAATAATGAAGTCCTGTCTAGACCAGATATGATCCTTCAGATTCTGAGGAACTTCGATGCCAGCCTGTGCGAAACAGTCCACACTACAATCTCTTCAGGTTGCTGGACTTCTCTTGTGCTTCTCATTCTTCTAGACCTCCTCCACTCACCAACTGGAATTGGCCTTCCATTCTGATCTACCAATGTTCACAAATCGCTTTTCGGTTGGATATATGACCTGGATTTACGATATCTCATTCCCACTGCTTCCATTTCTGAGTGCTCAAAACTCCCGAAAGAGTGTTGAGGTTCTTTTGTTTGTTACATTGTATCATCCACTGAGAGTAGCAGAGGGTTGCCGACAAGACTAAAGCCGGGCATGGACGGTTCGAAACTTGGCCCGTAAGACTGAAGGGGAGGAGTCGGTACACCTGTGCAAGACTGAAGGGGAGGAGTCGGTACACCTGTGCAAGACTGAAGGGGAGGAGTTGGTACACCTGTGCAAGACTGAAGGGGAGGAGTTGGTACACCTGTGCAAGACTGAAGGGGAGGAGTCGGTACACCTGTGCAAGGCTGAAGGGGAGGAGCCGCTACAACTGGGTAAGACTGAAGGGGAGGAGTCGGTACACCTTTGCAAGACTGAAGGGGAGGAGCCGGTACACCTGTGCAACACTGAAGGGGAGGAGTCGGTACACCTGTGCAAGACTGCAGTGGAGGAGTCGGTACACCTGTGCAAGACTGAAGGGGAGGAGTCGGTACACCTGTGCAAGACTGAAGGGGATGAGTCGGTACACCTGTGCAAGACTGAAGGGGAGGAGTCGGTACACCTGTGCAAGACTGAAGGGGAGGAGTCGGTACACCTGTGCAAGACTGCAGTGGAGGAGGAGTCGGTACACCTGTGCAAGACTGAAGGGGAGGAGTCGGTACACCTGTGCGAGACTGAAGGGGAGGAGTCGGTACACCTGTGCAAGACTGCAGTGGAGGAGTCGGTACACCTGTGCAAGACTGAAGGGGAGGAGTCGGTACACCTGTGCAAGACTGAAGGGGATGAGTCGGTACACCTGTGCAAGACTGCAGTGGAGGAGTCGGTACACCTGTGCAAGACTGAAGGGGAGGAGTCGGTACACCTGTGTGAGACTGAAGAGGAGGAGTCGGTACACCTGTGCGAGACTGAAGGGGAGGAGTCGGTACACCTGTGCGAGACTGAAGGGGAGGAGTCGGTACACCTGTGCGAGACTGAAGGGGAGGAGTCGGTACACCTGTGCGAGACTGAAGGGGAGGAGCCGGTACACCTGTGCGAGACTGCAGGGGAGGAGCCGGTACACCTGTGTGAGACTGAAGGGGAGGAGTCGGTACACCTGTGCAAGAATGAAGGGGAGGAGTCGGTACACCTGTGTGAGACTGAAGAGGAGGAGTCGGTACACCTGTGCGAGACTGAAGGGGAGGAGTCGGTACACCTGTGCGAGACTGAAGGGGAGGAGCCGGTACACCTGTGCGAGACTGCAGGGGAGGAGCCGGTACACCTGTGCGAGACTGAAGGGGAGGAGTCGGTACACCTGTGCGAGACTGAAGGGGAGGAGTCGGTACACCTGTGCAAGAATGAAGGGGAGGAGTCGGTACACCTCTGCAAGACTGGAGGTAGCGGTTTCCTAAACCTTCAATGTACAATAATTTCCAGTATGTTAAATCTGAAGGTAGATGTCAAGCAGGCGGTACATGCAAGCCTAGGAATAGTTCCTGAAAGAAAAGTAGGAAAGCAATTCCCAAAGCAGAGAGCAGCTACAAGGATCCTCTGGAGGCTGCGGCTGACTGCCAGGATTTCTGTATGCGTCACATTTTTCTGTTTTCTCCGGTCTGTTAAATTCCTCAAGTAAATGGTAATTGTGTGTGAGAGTCTCCAGGGAAGTGTCATGTTTAAGTTTGGTCACAGCTGATGTTCTCATTGACAAAGTCTCCAATTTGACGAGCGGTCCCAAACTTTACACGTGACTTCTCTGCTTGCTGGAAATCATGGAAGTATATATTTTTTTTTTCTATATAGTTATCAAGGAAGTATATTTATTTTTTATACATTTTTTTTTTTTTGGCTGTAAAGTATCTCTATTTTTTCCCCCAAAGGCCTAAGCACATTCACCTGGGCGCTGCGTTTTTTTTTTTTTTTGTGATTGGCCGCTGCTCCTAAAGGAGTTCCCGTTAGCGCCGTGTGTTAATACAGAATCCAATCCTGTCTCTGCAGTCGGAGGCCTCCTGGCAGTGTGGTGGAAGCGGAGGATACAAAGTTTCCATCAGTCAGCAGTTATTCGGTAATGGAAGAGCGTGTTCTTACCCCACCATCCATCCGCCGCGCGCTCTCCCTGCACTTAGGGGAGATTTCCATTTATTTTAATTAGCCGGCTTGTAGCTGCAGAGCCGGGGAGTTTTCTCTGTCATTAACCCCTCGGTGGGTGCGCTGGGTGGAGCGCTTTTAATGGCTTTTGAATTTGGGACGGGAGTTGTGCAATATTATGAGGAGGATAGACGTTTGGAGACAGGAAAGTAGGAGAGATTGACAGAGAATAGAAATGTGATTGGATGAGAGAGAGGAGAATAGGAGAGGAAAGATCGAGAGCAAGTAAAATAAATCGAGAAAAAGAGATACTGGAGAAAGACGGAGAAATGAGAACGTATCTATAAAAAGAGAAAAGAAAAGTAGAATAGACAGAATTTGTACTTTTCAAAAACAGCGAGGAAGATCATTAAAATCATAGAGTATTCACTTCAGCTCCATATGGTTTACCCTCTTCAGGACCAGGCCATTTTTTGCTATTTAGCACTGTGCTACTTTAAGTGGTAATTGTGCAGTCATGCAATTCTGTACCCAAACTAAATTTATATAATTTTTTTCCCCAGAAATAGAGCTTTCTTTTGGTGGTTTTTGATCACCACTTTTTATATATATATACACACACACACACACACAAAAGACCAAATATTTAGAAAAAAACTATATTTTTTTACTTTCTGTTATCATATCCAATAAAAAAATTAAATTTCTTCATAAATTTAGGCCCAAAATGTATTATGCTACATCCCTTGAGGCTTAGGGACTGATCTGAGCGTAATATATACATTCTCTTTTTCGCACCATTCTCTGTAAACCCTAGAGATGGTTGTGTGTGAAAATAGCCCGTCTAGCACCAACAACCGTGCCGCGTTCAAAGTCACTTAAATCCCCTTTGTTCCCCATTCTGATGCTCGGTTTGAACTTCAGCAAGCCGTCTTCACCGCGCCTAGATGCCTAAATGCTTTGAGTTGCTACCATGTGATTGGCTGATTAGCAATTTGTGTTACCCAGCAGTTGAACAGGTGGACCTAATAAAGTGGCCGATGAGTGTATACTGGAATTTATGATTTGTTTTTTCAATACTAGTAACAGTGGTGATCAGCAACTTATAGTGGGACTTTGATAGTGCTGTCACTGGGTGGGAACTGACTAACTGACACTGACATCATCAGTGACACTAATACAGTGATCAGTGCTAATAATATACACTGTCACTGTTACTAATGACACTGGCTGGGAAGGGGTTAACATCTCGGGTAATCAAGTGGTTAAATGCGTGCCTAACAAGTGTAATAAGTGTACTGTGTAGAAGGAATGGAGAGATCGTTCCTTCTATACAGAGCCCTGTGTTGTTTGTCAACACAGGGCTCTGAGCTGTGATTGGACACAGACAATCAGCAGGCCCTGGCCGTGAATCATTGGTTGGGACCTGCTGACAAACTCCCACTGTCTGCAATCACACTGGGAGTCTGCAGGCAGGGTGTGCGCTCCCTGTACCCGGAAAGTACATCGCTGCGCCTGTATGGGATGCCCGTTTGCAGTACATTGTGGGCAGGTGGATGACAAATAAATATATTTAAATTTTTTTTAAGGTCCCTAACTCACATTCATACATACACATACTAGGGACAATTTAGACAGGAGCCAATTAACCTCCTAGCATGTCTTTGGAGTGTGGGAGGAAACCGGAGTACCCGGAGGAAACACAGGCACAGGGAGAACATGCAAACTCCAGGTTGGTGGTGTCATGGTTGGGATTTGAACCAACGACCCGAGTACTGCCAGGTGGAAGTGCTGATCACCAATCACCAATATTTCAATATTTAATAGTTCAATATTTTGTAGCACTTCAGGGCTTAAAATTTCAAGTCCGGAGTTACTAGCCAGGCCTAGTAACACAAACAGAGACACCGGTACACACACACACACACAGACATGTACATACATGCACGCAGAAACATGTACACACACGCACAGAGACACCTGTACACACACACACACAGACATGTACATACATGCACGCAGAAACATGTACACACACGCACAGACACCTGTACACACACACACACAGACATGTACATACATACACGCAGAAAGACACACGCACAGAGACACATGTACACACACGCACAGAGACATGTATACACACACAGGCACGTACAGACACACATACATACAGATACATGCACATACACAGAAATACACATGCACAGACACATGTACATACATACACAGACACATGTACACACAGACACATGCACATACATATACACAAACACATGTACACACACATACATGTACATACACGCAGACACATGTACATGCATACACACACACACAAACACACACACACACCCCTATAAAAAGTTGCAGTACAAGTTGCAGTACTTTGTTGTTCACTCACAGAGCTGGGTACTGCACTCTAGGGGGAGGCAGAGAGCACAGCACACACTCCTTCCTTTGCTTTCACTGCGCTCAGCTATTGAGCAGTCTGACGGCTCCCAGTGCTACTGAGAGATCCGGCCTGAGCTCCGAGCCTGCTCAGCAAGACGGCCCTGGGGGACACACTCACCCCCACCATAATTTCCACTCGCCTATGGCGAGCAGGCGAGTGGAAATTTCAAGGCCTGACTTATGACATAAAAATACATTTACAAAAAAAAAAAAAAAGGATCTCTAATGCTGTACATTCATCTGTTGTGCAACATTCATCAGGGCTCCTAATGAGGGGTACAGGCAGTAAGCAGGGGGGTCGCTGCGACCACTGTCTGGCCCTCGATTTTTGCTGCTCCCCTTCTGATATCATCCTCAGGCCACACTGACATTCTTTCTGTTACAATGCAACAAGAAGGTGATAAAATGGAGACATGGGAGCGGGGATCCCCACCTTGGCCAGCAGCATGCCGGAATCCCAGCTTCTCCTCACCCAGCAACAGAGGGGTTAAACCCATGTATACACAGGGCCACGGCCAGTGCTGGTGAGATATCGGTTTGGTAGTGGCTAATGCAGGCCATAGACGGGTCAAAAACTGGCCGATTTTCGCATCGTTAGTGGGTTAATTGGTTGGCCATTTTTCAGGGTTTTGGCACATTTTTTTTATTGGTCAAGTTGGAAAATTTGCGGCCGATTTTGATGATTGGCCGATTTTTCCCGGCAATGATGGGCAAATCGGCCGATCGTTTTACTGATAAAAAAAATCTGCGCATGAGCCGTGACCTGCAAGAAGAAGAAGAAAAAAAGAAGAATGAGAATTCCAGTCTGTTATTATATTTTACGTGAAAAGTCTTGCGGTTGCAACAATGTATCTATTTGTATCTGAATAAAACCATCTGTATCCGAAATGGATACATTGTTGCAACCGCAAGACTTTTTCATGTAAAATATAATAGCGGAGCTCTCTGCAAGGGACAGAAGTAATTATGGGGTTAAATGCTGGCCGTAGACGGGACGAAAATCAGCCGATTTTTTTTACAGTTGGTGGTAACATCGGCCGATCGAACAACCGATTTTTCGGGTTTTATTAATTAAAAAAAGGCCAGTTTTCGACCCGTCTATGGCCTGCATTACTCATTAACTACTAAACCTCCATCCATCCATCCATCCATCGGGCATTACAACTCCCAGCATGCCTTGTTTACAGTAAGACCAGAGACTGTTCGGGGATAGCTGTACAAAGCCCAGGAACACTCGGCGGTTTGTGTTTTGTGAAATCAGCGTGTGTGTGGTGGGATTGCGGCTCTCCCTCTAATCTATTCCAAACAAATCTCTATCCACCTGATACC